CCCTAAGGTTTTGACTTTTTCTGCATTCTTTATCTTTGATAAAGTCAAAATCTTTTGTCATATGGGTCTGTAGTGCCTCTGTCTTCATGCATGATTGGGAAGGATTGAGTCTGATCCTTTGTTACTGGAGCAGACTTCTATTTTGTGCTACAGCTGGCAGCAGTGAAGGCTGTTATTTCCCCAAAAGGGCAGATGGATGGCTGCTGCCGTTCCTGAAGCCTATTGTAGCAATACAGCATGTCCCAGATAAACCTGTTCTCTTTCTCTGCTCCCAGTACCCCTAACAAATCAAGTCACTTGAAGACAAATGACTACATAGGGGTTTAAGGTAGCTGACTCTGAGCACTTCTGTTCGGAAGTGTGGATCTCCATCAAAATCTCAGATGTGTTGCTCCAGATCTATTCAGTCAAACATTGGCCCTTTGATGTTATGATAAGAAAGGCATGCACACAGCCCAGAAGTTTTCATAGTATTCCCATGTGTAGGATTCAAGACTATTCTACATCTCTATGGATTAGTAGAGAAAACTGATACAAATACATGTGCTTATGCTTTCCCACATATATACATAAGGATCACTGGTCAACACTGGATTTATCTCCACTAAGTACTCAGCTTTACATGATCACAACACTCCTTTTGAATATGGAAGAACATAAGTGGAAATTAATCCAGTAATATTTCAACATTAAATAACACTTTTCCCTGAGAACCACAGAGCAAGCTCTAGCTTAGCTGTGTGCTTCCAAGGGAAAAATAACCTGTTCCTTACAACAGAAGCGTCCCTTTCTTCCATTGCACTGAGGAAATAGGGTATGTTAGTGAGAGATAGAAAGTCCTGCTAATACTTTACTGCTGGAAGGAGAGATCAGGACATTAAACACCCTGAGCTCTCTGCAACATGTTTTCCACAGTGGTACAGCCCTTGAAAAACTCCAGCACACTGGGAAGCAAAGATGGGGCTGCAGCAGGGACATGCAGAGACCTGTGCTACTTTCCTCGCCCCCCTCTTCTTGTGGCTTGCACTTAAGAAATGCTTTTCAAGCTTTATATGTGCCTGAATGACAGGGGATGAAAATAATTCCATAACAAGCATTATGAATTCCCTTGTAACAAAAATAATCCTGCAAAATTCTTACGGCATTAACATAGATTTTGCATGTACTAAAAAATTTACTGTGGAATTTAGATAGTTAATAACAGTCAGCACTAACCAGACCTCCACATTAGAGTTATTTTATATATTTTAACAGACAACAAGATATCGACCACTTTCAGCTGAGTACATGAAGCAACATCTCAGGTCAGTCCAATACTAGGATGATTAGCTGAACATTGCTAAATACTCATCAATCAACCATAATAAATACTGAATATTCTGCTTGACCTTAAACACATTTTTTTTCCCACTACTTGCACCTTGCATCTTCTCAGAGCACTCAGCTGCACTATGCTCAGCTGCTTTCAAGGCAAAAGACACCATTAAGACATATCACATATTATGGAAAGATCATCAGCACAACTTTAAAATCAGCCCATTTGATTTAGAAGAAATCCAACAAGAAATTAAAATAGTGTTCAAGGTCACACTGAATAAACTTACAAACTATTGGGGAGGCTTTGCATTGTTTTATAAAACAAAATTGTAATTTCTCTGTATTATATGTCTCTTGAAACCACACATAGCTTGAAATATCAATTCACAGTATGCTTTTGGATTGTTTCCCCAGGGTTGTCTGCTTTCTACACAGAGACAGGGCAAGTATTCAAGCTGTGGGAGATGCAATATCAGAGAAGAAAAAGCTGAGACGTATTTATTATACCACGTTAGGATCAAACTATAATTTTGTAATTATTGTGTGAATTATAATCACAAGCAAGCTATTTACTGTCATTGCTTCCATTTGGCACACAAACACAACATGCACAAAATCTGCTGTTGTCTCCTGCACTGACTTAGCAATTCCTATCTCAAAGAAAAGGCTTCCAAGTATAAAAGAAATATCTGCACTAGCAGTGGCAGGTAGGAAAGCAGAACACAATGCAAGTGTACAGGAAAAGCATCTCGAGAGCAGGACTAACCACCCAGGCTTGTAGACTACTGCAGGTGAAGGACATGGAGGTGACTCCAGTGGAGGAGCCTTCATGGTCACGCTGGCTGACTGTACACCTCTTTAGTGTAACATTTTTTTAATTTGCTGTGTGGGGATAAAAACACGTCCTGAAAAGGAGTTAAACTCTGAATGTTTAGTGAAGCTATGCTAGCAGATGAAACAAAAGACTTATTCTACCAGAATAACATACTGGAGAACCATAAGGGGGGGAAATCAAAGATAAAATGAGCTAAAAGACAGTATTTCTGATCAAATTCCTTTTAAAAGAAAACTAAGCCTAGCCTATATCAAGTCCCGCATTTGCATAGCAAAATCATGTTTATTTTCATAAATTATGTCTATGCAATGCAGACTTGAGTAAAATTCTCCTTACTAGTGTGTGCAAATATGTAGCTCTGAACATTTTAAATGGAAGCCAGAATGGGGAGAAAACATGGTTTAATACTTTGGCAATCTGAACCCAGATAACTGTTTTTATTCATAGACTGGCCATGGACTTTGTGCATGGCCATGGACATTAATTCTACCTTGCTTCTCAATTTAAAAATGAAAAGCCCTCCCTTTTTAAAAATAAAATGTTATAGGAATGACATGAATATAAATCACAAGCAGACTGAGAAGGTTCAGCAATGAGAGCTATTATCTAGATATAGAGAGATAGACCATTGGACAAGCCGGCATACAAAGATGGACAAAACAAGAGTGATATTCCCCAAGCCTGTCTCAAAGATCCGGAGATTTAGTTCTCTCTATTCTATAATTAGAGTGTCTAAACCAAACAGAAAATCAAGCTCAGTTTTGCCTTATGGCTATGATGCCCAACCATCACCTATCGGGTAAGCAGATGTGGTACTACGTGGCAGATAAGAAGAGGCTGACAGGATACAGAGTGAAAACTGCCTCTCAGCATTACAGTGGGAGACTGTACATGAGTAGCTGTGCATTTGAAGGGGTCAGAGATAATTGCTGCTTATGAGGACAGCAGAAATTTCTAATAGAAAATGGCAATCAAATGTCAGCCAAGGCTCCTTTGATAGAAGTGGATAAAACTCTTCATATAATAAAAGCTTCTACCTTCTCCAAACTTTCACCCATTTTTTCATAGCAAATTCAATCTGAAGGGTTTTCCTGTGACTCGTATCTGGAGACAAGCATTTCAATTCCAGCATCTAGACCTAACTAGAACCACCTCAAAAGTGTCAAAACACCACAAGGAAGGCAATTCTCCCAGTAGCTCAGGCAGTTAATCATGCAGCATGGCCTTATGAGATTCCCAAAATGAGCACGTCAAACGGCTTATCTGAATGACTCATCAAAGCTTCCAAGTAAAACTGTGGAAGAGTATAATCTGAAGTGAAACATCACTGCATTGCAAATGCTCTCATGCTTCTGACAGCTGCTGAGCTAGACTCAAGCTCTGCAACCTTTGCTTTTGTATTTCCTATCAGAGCATTCTCATTTATTATCTACCTGATTGCAGCAGCTAATAACAGGCCAGGTCAAACCTCACTGACTTTCATTTGAAAAACTTCACACTGATTTTAAGGGTCTTTGGACCAGATCTGATGCACAACTCAAATATTGGCATAACTACAGACTACTTTTTCCCCAGAATAATTCCATGATGGATTTTTATGATACATCAAGTGATGGAGAGATGAGAGCATTGGACAAGTCAGTATAATTGCATCAAAAGTGATATCAAAGCAGTAGATTTTTTTTCCTCTTTGCCACTTCTTTTATCTAGGTTTTCTTCTGTACAGCAAGTGCCTGAGAACACAAATGCTGAGTCAATACTTCTGAGATTAGATTAATATGTAACATAGCTAATGAAATTTCTAGTTAAACTGAAGTTTTGTTGTGCTGGATTTTGTTTTTGGCAGCCTGAACTGCCTAAAATCCTAACTCAATTGCAATCTACTCACAGAGCACAGCTGTTTTGCTTGGCTAAACTTTTCTCGCCACTTAATAAGATACTTTTTTATTTAACTTTCAGTTCTGCCTAGGAGCCCCAGTGGATCTTCTAAAACAGAAGATTATTATTAGAAATTAATTAAGTATTCTTTTCAATTCTGTCTCCTGAGAGTAACTAGGCATTGCTGCTGATCTCCTCTGCATTAAGACATTACTGATTGTCATTCGTAGGATGACAGTGCGGATGTCTCATCTGGAAGATACATAACTCCATAAATATGAAAGATTTGAAAGGCATTTAATGCAAAATATAATAAATCAGTACAAATATTAAAAATATAATTGCAATGTCAAACAGTCTTCACATGACTGTGTTATAACACTAGAATAAAAATAAAAATAAACATACATTCCAAAGACCAAAAAAAAAAAAATCTTACTGGAATTATAGGACCCCAATGGATTACAGTTAGTCCACGTTTGAGTACACTGTAAACCCCAACTAAACAATTCCAGTTGAAGTAAAGGCAGTTGATAGGAAGTGGTGCTTTTTTTCTAAAGTGACCAGTGTCTGCAAAGAGTTTGTTGTCACTGCCCCACCTTCCATTTCACATGACTACAAGAAGTACAGACTAAGGCTCCCACCTCTGATGGTGGGCTCAGCCGGCACTACCTGGCTTTTTTTAAGTGAACCAAACCCAATAAGCACCAATATCCTGATGTAGTTTTTGATCTGAGGCCTTGAATGTGCATATTAATATATTACTCACAGAATTAGCTATGCATTTAGCATGGTACTTCATCCTTGAGATGGTCGTTGTTCTTTTCAATCTACAATAAACTCAGGGCTGTATGTATGACTAACTGCTGTCAGACTAACCAGGAGGGGATGTGAAGAGAAGAATGCCACCATGGGTCAACAGAACAACAATCACTTACTCTTAATAATAATAATATGGAATTCAACTTACTTTTTTGGTCTGTAGTCAGGGATGGACCTGTCCAGTGATATCCTGTCACTCAGTTGGGCATTGTAACCATATTCTTCATACTTAGTCTCTGATTCATGACTATCATCTCTCAGGGTAGCAGCCATTCCCCCCTGGCCCAAGCCTCCTGGACCTTCAACTAATCCCATGGGTTTTGCCAGACCTAAATGAAAAAGAAAAAAACAAAAAAAATATTAATATAAAATAAATGAGTCTAGCCTTTTCTGTGACCACAGAATATTTTTAGATAAACAAGATCTGAAGTCCCATGAAACTCAGCTCTGAAACCCTCATGACTCTGTGGAGATTATCCTCATCTTCTCAAATCAGAGTCCATATCAACACATCTTGTAGTATCTGCGAATAATTATTAATGAGCAAGCTGTAAAGAACCAACTAGCAGCTTTCACCATTTCTCCTTTTCCCTGTATAAATTCCTGGAAACAGGAATCTTGTTTCCAAACATTCCAAAATGCCTAATTATCCTTAAGATATATTCCTTATCATTTCCTCATAAGAACTGGAGACTAGGCCCTTTCCCAGTAGAGCCCAGTATAGCTCCATTCATTTTAAGGGAGATAGGTTGAATTTCTACCATGTGTAGATCTGCCAGTTTTAAATCCATATTAGTGTCAGTTCTGGAATAAGTTTTGGAGCTGAGGCATCTGCTCTGTGGCTCTAAGACCACCTGCAGCTCTTGAATGGTTCAGGTTTGTTTCCCATGTTGGGAATACAGCTGTGCTGGTCACCAGCTGCTGCTGGGTAGGAAATACACAGTAAATCTCATTTCACCCTGTGAGTCAGTAGATGGATCATTTGGACTCAGCTGCACACCTTGCCCAGCCTGTTCCCACAAAGATGTGCTAAAACTATCAGGGAGCTGACACCATCTCTCACCTGGGAATTACTCCAGATTTCCTCTGTCCTTCAGACATCTGACGAATTAAGTATGTATATTATGTAAGACACTTGGCTCTGTACAGCTTATAGGATCAGAAAGTTTGGACACTTGAGGTAAAAAAATTAGCCCCACTTGATTAGTACTGAGATATTAGCCAGTCAACAATGCGTTTATAAGTTTCATTCATTGGTATATTACTGGTCAACTCAGATATACATGTAGAGCAAAACTAAACCAACTTTAAAAATGTCCATATGACGACATCTCCAAGAACCTCTTCTGTGGCCACAGACATTTAACTTGGTGCTGAATTCTCATAAATAAGCTCCTCAAACATCCTGTGTTTGATGTGAAAGCTTTCCTTTCCAAAAGGCTCACTATCATCAAGTCATTGTAAGTGAAAAAGTTATTTATAATAGTCTTGGGGATACCATACAGAAATGTGTAAATATCCTCCAAACCACTTACAGCGCAGTGCAAAACAATTAGAGCTCGACCTGCTCAACATTTTTTGAATTAATAATTTTTCAAGAGGAAAATGTCATTATTTCAACTAAACAATTACAGAGAAAGGCAGAAAGAAACTGTCAACATTTGCTATTAACAGACACGCAAATCATTACAAATCTGGGACTGGCTTCCCCAAGCCACAATAAGGTCTGGGACAGTTTAGTCCCTCATGAAGGAATGTCTCTTGCACCTCATTGCTAACACTGTCCTCACTACATCTCCATCCTCATCTCTGCTTAATTACAGCCCAGAACAGAAAGACAGTACTCTGTTAGTGATCTGAAAGAGTAATTTCTTCTGTAGAAAGAGCATTTTCTTCTGTAGTGCTTATGAGAAAATCCAATGCTAAGGTTAAGTGCCAAGAGGAGCTAGTTCATGAGTCAAAATTTCCTGCTGACTTACACTGGTAGCAATTCACTCAGAGACAAATCCAAATCATAGCACTGTGCTGAACTGCTGTTCACTAAGAGACACACCTGTGCGTGCGGAGTCTGGATGGGACCTATGACACTGGCTGCATTCTCTAATGCAGGCCTGACTGGTTCTATCTTAATTATTACAAATATTATGACACCTACAGTTTGCTATTAATGTACAAACACACCAAGAGTTCCTACTCTGAATGACTAACATTAACCCAACATGATCTCTTGAAAAACTGATTTTACCCCTGAAAACTGAACAGACTTACTTCATACATCACAAACCACTCTTCTTTACTGCTCACATTTCTTTGTAGAAATGTACCTTATGCACCTTTCTTCCGCTAAAACTGGTTCAAAAATGTCAGAGAACCTTCCTTCCATTCTTGCTTGCAGCAATCATCATAAAGCAACTGGGTTAGCATCAAGTGATCAACCTGCAGCTGGTACTAAACTTCTGCATTCTGCAGGGACAGGGAGACACTAGCACGGGGGAGGTTCACAATTAGAAACTGATATAACCACGTCTCCAACTGGGTCATGCAAAGGAGGAAGCTGTGAGCAAAAAATGTGATATCATGATATTTGGGGTATTTAAGAAGGATTATTTGAATTTTTTAATGAAAACATTTTCTGTCAGAAAGGTGAAGAACGAGACAGTCATAGTTTCTGTTGAAACATGACTAAAACTCTTGAAGAGTTGTGTTGCAGTTAGTGATTTCCAACAACAGAGATTCTTTTACCTTACCAAGTGAAGCACTTCAATACACATTAAATATTTCTGAAAATATTTTAGGGAGCTTCATATTTAAGCAAATTGTAACATTTGTCCCTTTTGTTCCAATTTATGATGAGAGGCTATTTGGCACTTTGACTAGCTTTAGTATTTAATATTACTTCCTTTGGAAAAATTGGAACAGAAGGGCCTAATTCCTAGCCTGACAACTAGTCCTTGCTCAAGTAATTACAGAAATTACATGTCTGAGACTCTAAATCTCTCCCCACCCAAAAGGAAAAACACAGCACCCTAATCTTCATGCATGATACAGTCTTAGACTTAAAGACACTAATAGCAAGCAGTGATGCTTCATGCCCCTGCTTTACTTGCCTGATATAAGGCATCTTTAAGGGGGGCTCAGTTTCAGAGAAAAGTCAGCAGTTGCCCCCCCCCCAAAAAAAAGCATAAGCAGGCCTTATTAAAAAGGGAGTCAAATTAGACACTTTAGAAGTTAAAGAACCCAGAAAACTAGACACTTAATAAAGCCTGTGTCCTTGAAAGACTGCTATGTGGAAATTCATTTGCTGATCATTTGGAATCATCTAGGCTGGGTGCTGATGTTACATCAAAGGAAACTGAAGATGACTTCATTAACATTAACTGACCTGCTTTGATGAAAGGGTCTCCAAGATGTGGCATGTTCATTTGACTTTAAGCAACAGTTTAATTCCAGTAGTTGAAACTTTATTCTTTATACTGTATGCTCTTGCAGTTTACAGAACAAAACACTTGCATCTTTATGGCACAAGTATCAGCGAAATGAAACTTCCAACCCACAGGAAGCATCAAGCACTTGCCTGTTTTTCTTACGAGAGAATTAGGTAGGTAGCCTTCCAAACCACACATAATGACAAATTATTTCATATACCTTTTTTCTAAATCTGATATTCTACCTCTTCATAATCTAATCTTGTTCTAAGAAAGAATCATCGTTTGTCTGACTTACTCTCAGAACATACTGTTGTGAGGCTTTTTCCCCATTCATTACCCAGATTGTAGCCTAGTCTGAGTTATTATAGCAATGCAGTAACATTGACCAATATATAGCAGCAATTAAATAAATGATATCACACTGCTTCATTCTTTAAGAAAAGCACTAAAGTGTCTCCAGAAGTTCTTAGGAACAATGAATATAATAATATATTTTATATAAGTGTGTGTGTGTTAAATGTAGCAATTACAGACAATGTTCTTCAATACATGGTTGGTTAGCCAGACACAATATAACTGTCTCACATAGGATTACATGTGCATAGCATTTTGCATCTGAAAGGACCACCTGTTACTTCAGCAAATGTCTCCTCAACAGAAGGCTCTGCCCCATGACTAGCTAAGTCAAGATCATTACTCGCTAACCTCCAAATCCAGAGTTATCTGCATTAATTGGCCTTTTGTGAAAAAACAGGGAAGAGATGCCTGTTCAACAGCATCCTCTCAAAAAAATGTTGGTCTCAAGGGATGGGATCAGGAGGCAGACAATGGCAGACAGTGTCCCCCCAGGTCTGGCTGAAGCAAAGGGTGCTGGTGAACAAAGCACATGGTCTGGTGCATCCCTCCGGGCCCTCATCCGAGGGATGCCCAAGGGTCTGGGACCATGGATCAGAACCATCTCATCAGAGGCATTCCAGCATGCCAAACACGGGAACGACATCTCAGAGGCCACGGAGGAGCAGAATACTCTACAGCAGTTCTCCCACGGGATGCATAGGTGGGCTGTCAAAGACAAAGTCAGCAAAGAACAAGTTATTTGTGCCCTAGGGCTTGGGTGTTTTCAGCTCAGCAAAGACCCAGACAGCCTTCAGGGACAGCTCATAGGAAAATTCATTCCCATGGGTCTCGTGTAGTGAAAGAACAGAAAAAGCCATACATTTCTGGAAATACTGTTGCCCTGCAGAGAGACAATTGCTATTGATTTTATATGTTGGGTGTTTAGGTCCTACAGTGATGGGGAACAGTATAAAACAAACAAAAAAAAGACATGGAAAAGTGCTTCTGGTTCAGCTTCCAGCATATACCTGGCTTTTAACCAAGGGAGATCAGATGAGAGCACTTTTCTCTTTTCTTTTATTTAAAGCTTGTTGCAGACTTCCAAATGCTTCCTTTATCTTTGATTTACTTACCTATGGCTCTAACTAGCACCCATTTCACCCATTTTTCCATGGCCTGTGAAGCCATTTTGGGCAGGGTACAGCAGCATTGCTGACAGCGTGATGCTGTGGCTCATGTCAGACCAAAGGATTGAAATTATGCTGCCAGCTCTGAAATGGTGATGGGCAGAGAGGGGACCACAGTGGCAATGCCCAGTGAGCTGCTATTTTTAAAGCTGTCTTTTCTTTAATTTTTTAGACTGAAAAGATCTACAGCCCATATGCTGGGATCAGTCATACCCAGTTCAACACTGCAGATGACAATGAGGTCACAAATAATTAGCGTCTGTCATTCATTTCAAATTTACTGCTCTCACTGCAGAGATTTCTGTGTAAGACAGAAATTGCTGGGAGAATGGAGAGCAGAATGAACTGGTCTTAATTTCTTAACCAGATTAATTACTC